CCCCCCCTCGATATATAACTTGTTAATATTTCTTCCAAACTATATTACAGTATGAAGACGATGATGGCGATAAAGTTCTACTCACAACAGATGGAGATCTTATTGGTGCAGTTAGCTATGCGAGATCAGCTGGACTAAAGGTGTGATAACCACTTGTCTCAACATATACTTTACAGGCTAATATATTGTCAGGGATAATGTGTTTATGGTTTACCTCTTGCTTAGCCAAATATGTGAGGCACCTCTTGTTAAGTGATATTCATGATGTGGTACCTCAATTTATTCCTGACATCCTAAGAGGGAAAGTAATTATAACTGCCCAATAATGATTAATGGTTAATTTTATTGTTCAAATGTCTATCTGTTAAACATATTCTATGATGGATCTATAAAATACAATCTCTATGTTAGAAACCTTTTCATTTTACGGTTGTCCTACATGTACATAATATATTCAGCTAGGACTTTTAAGTTGAGCCGAGCATGCTACTTGTCATCAAATCTTCAATCTAACTCTGATTCTCTAGGGATGGTCTATTGATAAGCACTAAGCAATTGACTCTTTAAGTCCTACAAAACAGAGACTAGCATGGATAGCCATCAGAAAGTTGATATTGTGGTTACAGCCGAAATTCTTCATAACCATCAATTTCTCACCATTTTCGGCATTATAGTAATTGTTGTCCTTCCTTCCTTTAAAGAAAATTTAACTTATTTCTATACATCTTAGACAGCAAAGCTTGAAATTTATATACCTTTACCACTGTAGATGGAATAGCTGCCTATTGTTTTACAAGAACCATGGAATTAGATGCCTCTATCTTTCGCGAGTAGGAGGATTCATTTAAGAAGGGAAACGAGTTCTTTTCTTGTTTGGGAAAAATTATAATGAGATTATAATGAAAAGGAGTAATGAGTCCCACGAAATATGTGGATATTAGGTTGTTAGTAGTTGTGAATGTGTGCTTAAAATTAATGCTTGACTTTGACTTTAGATTTTATAAGGTGATCATGATGAAACCCAAACAAGCTCTAATGGTCCCTCCTGCTGATGCAGCCCTTCACCAACCTCGAATTGGACCCACGGGCAATAGATCAGACTCTTGGAGAGTTCCCTCAAAAAAATTCTGGCATGCTTATTGGTAAATTAGTTATACTCATAATGCAATCCCTCTCGGAGGAGCTGTAGTTTATGTCAAGTTGCTTTCCCCTTTTGATTAAAGCAAAAAGTCAACAACCGCCCGTACATTGCTTCTTGGCAATTTGAAAATAATCTTACAGCCTGCCACTGCTATTGTTATTTCTGTGATCGTGATATCAAAATTACCATTCCATAGTGTCTAATTAAAATTCTAACGTTTTATTGCATGTGTTCCAAATTGTCCTTTACTGAAGTAGATATTGACATCAGCCCTGCAAGTTCACAACTGTTGGTCTTGCAAATTAGCTTTCTGAATTTGAACTTACAGTTTGCTGTCTAGAGCTTCTGTATTTTAATTGACTTCTAATAATGTTCTGTACATTTGGACATTCTTTGACATCACTATTATTTTCATATATACTAGGTTCTGAGATTGCATGTGGAGTACCACGATTCAAGCGATGTTATGAAAAAGCCGCAGTTGGAAACTGCCACTGTGGGGAGAGCTGGACGGATCGCTCTTGGCTCTGGGATTTTTGCTGGAGCAGTTGTTCTTACAAGCATAGGCGTATTGGTCTACCTAAAACGCTCAAAAGCATGATGTTAGTGACGAATTATACTCAACATTATATATGATATCCCACAATGTGCATATATTGACAGTGGAAAGTTTAAATTATGGTTTGGGAGAGCTGCTTTAGTTCTTATGTCCATGGACTGACAGTAGGGGTGGCAGTGGGCCGAGCCGGATCGGCTCGACTCGTTAACCCACGAGCTCGGCTCGAGCTCGTGGCGCGGCCCGGGGGGGGGGGGGGGGGGGGGGGGGGAGCCGAGCTCGTGGCTTGTTTTTCACGAGCCGAGCTCGGGCTCGGCTTGTTGCTTGTGGGCGAGCTCGGCTCGGCCCACGAGCTCGTGTACTCACGAGCCACGAGCCACGAGCTTGTGGGCCGGGCCGGGCCGGGCTGAGCCAAGCCCACGAGTGACTCACGAGCTCGTGAATTTTTATTTTTATTTGCAAATTTTATTGATAAAATTTTAATTTTTTTCCACTTTTTTGGACGAGCCGGCTCGTGAGCTCAGCCCACGAGCCGCTTGACGAGCCGAGCGGGCTCGGCTCGTTGGAGGCAACCCCCGCTCGGCTCGAGCTCGGGCTCGTCATTTGACGAGCGCGAGCTTTGACGAGCCGAGCCGGCTCGACCCAATTGACATCCCTATAGACTGATGGAATCATCAACAAAGTGGTTAGTTACTTGGTGGAAGAGCAAATTATGAACATTTAGATCCTGTCTCGAGCACTTACAAGGATGATGAAAGAGAATAAATGATATTTGAAAGGTTGTGAGGAAAAATATAATTCAAAGAAGGTGAAAATGGAATATTTTGTCTTAAACTCATGCTAAGATGTTGCTGCTTTTGAGGACTAAGGTTACATTAATTTTTGTGTCAAAATTGTCGAAGATGGTCGCAGATGGTCAAGTTAGAGTATTTTTTTTATTTTTTATTTTTTAAAATTTCACCATTCTCGACGAATCAAATTCAAACCTAGGTCATTTTCTTAATAAGGTTTCTCTTTTATTAGAGTTAGGCTTTGATCTTGTGAAGTTGGAGCTCTGTTGTTTGTCGGTGATGGGCAACGAATCATGAGGGGATGTTCGGTATGTAGTATTGAATTATTAATGAAGGATGTTATTTGAAAGTCACTTTGACAAAAAGAAAAGTACTGATCTCTTTTATATAAATATGTGATTAAATATTTTACACTAATTTGCATAAAAAAGTAAGTAATTTATAATATAAAATAAGCATCTAGAAAATAAAAATATGATCAAATAAGTGATACTTGGTCACAATTACAAAGATGAAAAATTGTAGGGTAGTCTTTAACCTGTTCAAAAAGTGTAAAATTATTTTCAAATATTTAAATTTAGAAATGTCGTCCCAAATCTATTTATAAATATCAAGGCTTTAAAAGGTGCCAAAAGATTAAGCTTGTTAAGATTAGATGAACATTTTTCTTCTTCTTATTTTTAATATTATTTAAATTATTATTCATATTCTTATAATGATTCAATTTATTTAATTATTTATTTAACTTAAAAAAATATTAAAAAAAGACTCGCTCATTTTGACATCTAGGCCCTTATTTTAGGTGGTCAAAATAGGATTGATTGTGTTTTTTCACTCTTTTCATATGCAGGGTGATTTTTTCACACCTCACACTTATGCCCACTAGACTCGGCCTTTTTTTTCTTTTCGCATATACAATCTGTATTGTTCAATCAATGATTTCGAATCCTGAAATCCTTCTTTCTCAAACCTCATCCTAACAGATACAAGATATACACTTCTCGTCATATGATGTCTCATAAAGTGCCATGCCTATGGTAGCTTGAAAACTATTAAGCAAATTCTAAAAATGGTAAGTACATTTCCCAAATATTGTCAAGATCTAGCATACAAGCTCTTAAACACATCTCCAAGTATATGGATGGTCTTCTCAGAGTCCATCGGACAACGTGTGATATGTGGTACTAGACTTGAGTTTCGTTCCCATAGCATCCTGTAGAATTTTCCAAAATTTTGACGAGAATCTCGAGTCTTTATATGAAATAATAAAAAATATAGCTTAACTAATTTTCTTACATAAGCACATACATATTGCTCCTTGGTGAATGCCATCTTAATTGGAAGAAAGTCACCTGACTTTATAAGACAAACCACTACTACCTAAATATGTACGATTGTTTCCTTTTGTAGATATTAAAGGTCTTAACATGAAGTCCCAATTTATGTGTTCCTCTCTGATGTTCTACTTTCACTCGTGACACGCCATACACTTCCTTACAAAGAGTTCTACTCGTATCTTCGTATTTTTTTCACCAAAACGTATATTGAGGACATTGATGCATTTTTGTACCACAAGAATGTGATGCAAAAGGGGTGGAGTTTCCTTTTTCAAGAATTTCATTCCTTAATCCCCCATCTTTTGGAATGCACAATCTACGTTTATACGTTTGTGTCTTATTGTCAACTATTTCAAATTCGTTGCACTTACTGTCCCAACTTCATCCATGAACTTACACAAAAATGGATCATTCTTTTGGGCTTCTCTAATCCACCCTCTAATAGTAAGTTGAACTATTAAAGTTGTGACAAGAGCTGACTTCTGTATCAAAGGTGTAATAACCTCTAGCGGCAATTTTTCAAATGCATTAACTAATTCTTAAATGGATGGAGATGTCTATTAACGGGTTGTTTTTCTACTAAGAGTATCAACAACTACAATAACTTTACCTGGATAGTAGAGAATAATGCAATCTCTATTACAATTCTCAACCATTGCCTTTACCTTATATCTAACTTCTTCTAGACAAAGTAGTATTCGAGACTTTTATGATTGGTATAAATCTCACAATATCGAAACCATATCTTTAAGGCATGAACTATTGCTTGAAATTCTGAGTCATATGTTAGATAAGTTTGTCATATATTTTAAGTTTTAACTGCCTAGAGGAGTAGGCAACAACATTTGCGTGTTGTATCTACATGTGTCCCAAACTTTATTTTGATGCATCATTGTACATTACAAATCCTTCCGAACCTTATGGTATTGTTAATACTAGTGCTGAACCAATCTTTGCTTCAATTTTTAAAACTACTTTCAAATTTCTTAGACGATGGAACTTTACTCTCTTACTAGTCAACTGTATTATTGGTCTAGCTATCTTAGAAAATCCTTCAATGAATCTTGTGTAATAGCCAACCAGTTTCAAGAAACTACGGAGTAATTTTTCATTGCGACTTTAGTTGGTTCTACCTCAATCTCTTGTGCAGTAACTATATGACCAAGGAAGTCAATTCAATCTACCAAGAATTTACATTTTTGAATTGGCATCTAGTACAATTCTCAACTACTCTTTATGTTGGTGCTTATCTTGTGAGCATACCAATATGTAGTCAATGAAGATCAAAACGAATTGGTCTAAGTAGTGGATGAGAAATTAAGTTCACTAAGTTCATATATCAGTTGGTGCATTGGTTAACCCAAATGGGATATCTGTGAACTCATAGTACCTACGCCAAGTTCTAAATTTTGTGTTAGGGATATCGTAGTCCTTTATGTTGAGTTGGTTATAACTCGATCTCAAATCGATCTTTAAGAAAACTCTCACACCTTTCGATTCATCCAAAAAGATCATATATCATTGGAAGTGGGTGTTTATTCTTTCTAGCTAGATGGTTTATATCCCTACAGCCGATACATATCCTCATTGACCTATCTGTCTTCTTAACAAATAATGCTGGTACTCTTTACAGGATGCACTAGATCGGGTGAAACCTTTATCTAGTATTTCCTACAGTTGTATATTTTTCTTGCAATTTTTTATTACTATCTTGTAGGGGGCTTTAGATATTGGTGCTGCCCTCGGGTCAAGCTAATTGTGAACTTCACTTACCTATCTGTTGATATACCAAGTGGATATTCAGGAAAACAAGGTCCACAAACTTCTGAACCACTAGTGTATCTTCAACTGTTCATTTAGATTGAGTTTCCTAGTGATATTTATTGAGAATCCTTGACATGTATCCTTTATCATCATTTTCACTTTCAATGTAGACACAAATCAGGGTAGAGTCCCAATTCTTATCTCAAATAATTGGAATTCTTCTTCTCTAGGCTTTCAAAACAAAACCACTACTTGCAGCATAAGATGTTTGCTCAATTTCTACCTAGCCACTCCATATACATCAAAATCTTTCAGTCTTAAGAGGTGCAAGTCTGTCTTTAATACCTTTCCTTCGATTTAACTTGGCCCCTATTTGACAACTATTATTTCAAAACTGTTTATTCTAAATATTTATTTTCAATCACACATTCACACAATAAAATATACTGTGTAAGCCCAAAAATTTTTCCTACTTTTTAATTATATATTCTCCAAAAATTTATTATTCGAAACTTTTTTGCCAAATAATGACCATCAAACAAGGACTTGATTTTTTACTATTTAATTATATTGATGACTTCTCCTGATGCGGTACAAACATCTAAGTTGTTTGATTTCTCACGTTTGTTCTCAATCGTATCCATAAAAATAGTAGAAATAAATGAATGTGCAGCTCCAAAATTTATAATGACAATAAAAGTAGGGTCGACGAGCTGCTCGGCTCGTTAAAACCCAACTCATGGGCGGCTCGTGGGCCTTGTGCCCACGAGCGTCCAAAAATATGAAATTTTTTTTAAAAAAAGGTGCAAAAACATGCATAAATAAATAAATAAAAAAAGTTAAAAAAAACACGAGCTCGCGAGCGGCTAGTGGGCTCGGCCCATGAGCTTGTGGGCCGAGCCAACTCAACTCGACCCATTGCCATCACTAAATAAAAGGTATATCAAATATCAGTAACATATTTGTTATCACATTTGTATCCCACTGCTATTCGGGGCAATTTTCTAAATGACCAGAATATTTATTCTATTTTTCACAATGGCCTTAACAATTGGAAATACTATTTTACCCTTACTTTTATTATTTGCAAGATGTATCCTTCTCTTTTCGGGATTCATTTATCAGGACTTATGTTTGTATTTTTTTTATTTTTCAAATAGTCTAATATTCTCTGCATCTTGATAATTCCTCAAAGATTCTAGGCTGATCTTTCTTAGTTATATATCCTAGAATTATTCCTTTTGAAACTTCT